TCTCTCTCTCTCTCTCTCTCTCTCTCTCTCTCACACACACACACACACACACATAGGCACAGCTGCAGATGCGGCCCATGTAATGATATATGCAAGCATGTATAAGAATGTGTTGCTTCTGGTGTGCAGAGATGGACTTCTTGCGGATTTGGTGGAATTTATTTGAATGGAATTTATGATATTCCTGAGTGGTTCAAATTCGTCAATCATGTGGACAACATCGTTTCCTTTGAAGTTCCTCCAAGAATCATGGGTAGTGATTTAAAAGGGTTGACTATATGCTTCGTTTACTCTTCAGACAGGCGAAAATTCTTAACAATGCCTTATTGGAGTTATGGGAAATTTAAAGATTCTCAAAATGGTCTTATTGGCATTATCGTTAGAAATCTTACCAAACAAACTGCTTTGCACACCAAGATAGCAATTGCCTCCTTAAAAACTTGGAATAGACCTGAAGACCATTATCTTTGGCAGGGACAATTGTTAAACGATGTGCTCCATTTGGAAGGCGGTGACCACGTATCGATTCTCGTAAGGCCTGATGATGTTGATTTTGTGAGAGTGAAGAAGACAGGGGTTCATCTAGAATGGGACAAAGTCATGAAGGAAAATATGGATAATCCAGATCCTCATTTGTATGCTTTGGAAACAAATGGGGATTTTTCAGGGAGTTGATGACTCCATTTCAAGAAACAGAGAGAACAAGGGAAGAAAATCAAAGAGGAGGAGGATAGGATCGTTTGATTATGTTTAAACCACTGAGGGCGCTGATACCAACATATTCAGAGAAGTATGAGGAAGAGACCTGAAGAAGAAGGAAAGAGAGAGGAATAGAAAGAAATTGCAATCTTGATTTATGTATTTCATCTTTTAAGCTACAGCACTATTACACTTTATACAGCTGTCTAACTAATTCACATACACCACTAACAACTCACGTGCCTTGCACACCCAACTTACTAACTGATAACAATGATATCAATAGTTAACAGCTAGTGCGCTTTAAGTTGACCATCCCGTTTTCTGGGCTGTGGTTGTAACTTGTAACCGACTGTGTCGATATTCTACGATGTGGAGGCTAGAGATGTGAGGAATCAGACTGCTTTGCACACCCGGATAGCATTTGGCTCGGTAAAAACTTCTAGTAAACCTGAAGACCATTATCTTTGGCAGGGACAATTGTGACTGATGATGTTGATTTTGTGAGAGTGAAGAAGATAGGGGTTCATCTAGAATGGGACAAACTCATGAATGAAAATATGGATAATCCGGATCCTCATTTGTATGATTTGGAAACAAATCGGGATTTTTCAGGGGGAGTTCATGACACATTTTTCAGGGGCTTATACATGAACAACTAGCAGTGGAACCATATCTGGATTTTTTGGGGAACTGATGATGAGTTAGGACGGAGCCGTGGCGCATCTATTCCCGGTGATCAAGTGAGTGCTATAGTTGAAGAATCAGCAGTGGAAGATGATCCTTTTGGCTGTGCCGGATGATGGAGCAGGATGGAGCAATGATGCATTTGTTCGCACTAATGAATCGAGTGTTGTGGATGAACAATTAGCAGTGAAGGGGTGTTTCGGGCATCTAAAAAGTTTTTTTATGGCTAAAACCTAAATTTACTTTTAAAATATTTTCTTCAATTGTTTTTCCCACCCACGTTGATTGTGAATGGTTGCCACAGAATTTAGTTGACGGGAATTATTTAAGACTGAATTTTCCTTTCCTTTTTTTTTTTTTTTTTTTCGCCAAAGAATTTAATTGCAAAGGAAAGGGTCGCAACCTTGAATTGAATTCTGCACATTGCCGGAAGCCAATATTTTATTTTTTCCTTTTCTTTTTCTTGTCTTAGCAAAAGAAACTTTACACGTTGCCTGGATGGAACCAAATTCTGCATTTTCTTTCACTTGCGAAGAAGACGCAAATCCCTTCCACAGTAATATCAGAAACAAAAAGAATGTAACAGTGGACCAGTCATCACCTTCTTGCAGCTCTGTGTAAGCTACAATATATTACTTTCCGTTTCTGTTACAGAACACTAGTTGCTGCTGGTGGTGATCTGAATCCAACATGTTCAGTTTCATTAAACCTCCGCGAATGAGATAATCTACTAGGGTTGGCATGGAAGGGCAGGGCATGGCTCTTGAGTAACCTTTTTCTGATTGATCCTAGCATGTGCTTCCTTTGAACAATCAGGATAACATTACAGGTTAGTGCGCTTTAAGTAGACCAACATCCCATTGCTGGTCAAAACAGCAGCACTTGCCAAAACTTCCATACAACGGTGTTGTGGCAGGTGTTCTCTGGGTGGCGTGGCTGTTTCATTCCCATACCTACGGTTTTCTGTTTCATGTAATTGGGCCTTCACTTTGCCCGTTCTGTGTTTTCATGTTTGGGCCTTTTGTCTTTTTGTTTTTTGGTTAGGTTTTCTTCGGCTTGTAGCTTTCCACTCTATTTGAATGCTTTTCAATTTATTTAAATAGAATTACATTCACACAAAAAATATTAATAACAGACTGGGACCCGATTATCTCTTTTATTTTTTTTTTCATTTTTTTTCCCCTTTAAGAACATACATGATGTAAAGTAAAATGAACTCTTGTGATGTCAAGAGACACGATATATACGTAATAAATTTTACTAGCAAAAGGTGCCCGTTTTAAAATTGCGTGAAATGTGTATAAAGCAATAAAAATAGGCAGGGAACATCTCAACTACCCAATTGCCAAAACACTCTACCAACATGTTCAAATATTGTAATCATCTAAACCTATCATTACAACAACAAATTAACACCAACCAATTGTCAATTGATGCCATTAGCTAATTCCCTATGCTCTATTCACAAAACTTAAAACAGTTAATTGAAATTTCAGCCTAGAAACTCACCCCTTGCTTAACAGAACTGAAAACATTAACCAAACCGCTCTATCCAAGGCAACAAAAGACCATCTGCAAAATATCAAAAGAAAACATGGTTTTCAACATTGCTTTCATGATTCAATTACAAAGCATATGTTCTGATGTAAATTGTATTATATATTACAGGTTGTGTTACTGCAACTGTGGGGGAAAAAAAGGAATCATAAAGAAGCTGCATACAGAATTCAAATTGTATTAAATTCCTGTTTTTCTTTTTTATTAAAAACTACTAATTTCAATAGCTAAAATATCCACAAGTCTATAAGCTTGGGATTTTTATTTATTTATTTTATTTTATTATATTATTATTATTTTTGCAGACACAAAAAGAATCTCTTTCAGAAGATACAATCAATAAGGACCAGTTAACCATGAATTAAAAAAAAATTAAAAATTAGATGGGAAAAAGAAAACTTACATGGTTAAACAGAAATAACAAACTGGTGAAATGGATCATCGCTATATGTTATAGAAGAAAGTTATTCCATGAGATGAGATTCAAAAAAAATATAAACATGAATGAATTGAGAATATAAAATAATTATTGACACGCATCTTATTATAATACCGTGAATGGCAACAAACCAACCAATATTATCACGCTAACTAAGCTGGAGATCCTGGGTTTAAATTCCTAAGACTGCAACCTTCCAATATAAGCTGAGGATAGAGGCTCACATGTGAGGAGTTAGATATATTCACCATGAGAGAATATTGAACTGAATCTTTGGGGGTTTTCTATACCCCAGATACCTTTTTCAAACTCCTTGCATTTGTCAGTCATTACACAAACATTGGGGTAAAATGTTCATGTTAGGCGGTAAAGTAAGATTTTACACTCATATATCAAAACAAAACAGCACACTCATAAATACAAATGTACAAACTTGGACTGAAATAACACACAAAGATGCATAATTTCACTCACACAACCGAACCTAATTCCCTCCACTTCCATTTATATTCCTCAAATTCACTAAAAGCAGAAAATTTAACAACTAAAGGAAATGACGTGATGGATAAAAGAGTGACATCGGAGAGGGAGAAGAAACATAGCATTCAACAAATAGGCACAAAGTCTTACTTGCTCTCCAAAAAGGGATCGCAAGATAAGTACGAACAGGAAAAGAAAATATAATAATAAAAATTCAGCCACCCAGAAAATCTATAACAACACGCAAATTCCCAATGGCTCCACTTATTTTTTCAGAATTGTTATAGGCTATAGTGCGGTGTGAGGCTCATTCTGCAAGCTCCTCATGGTGCATAACCTTAACCATAAAGAATATTTCAAACTCTCTGTCTGTATCAGCCAATTGGCACCAAGTCATATTCCAGCAACAAACTTCAACATTGCTACTTCCTTCTTGTTTTGCAACTTCCATCAATGAAGCCCACTTCATAAAGCGGAAACCAAAATCACAGAACCATTTTCCACAAAAAACTCTACTTGTACATAAAAATAAGAAAAAATTAATCGTTTTCCCACTTGGGTACTGGCCATTCTGATCTTTCTCGTCTTTCAAATGGCTAATTCAGAAGATCAAGACTTGAAGCAATTCAAGCAAGTGCTGGTGCAATTCATGGACAAACTTTCACCACGAAATTCAGTGAGAGATGTCAAATGTGGTTGGAACATGAGTTCAGACGCTTGCAGAGACAAATGGGAGGGTGTGACATGTGACAAACATAATTATGTGAAGAAAATAAAAAGGGAATGCAAGATAAGTATGAACAGGAAAAGAAAAAAAAAAATTCAGCCACACAGAAAATCTATAACCATACGCAAACAGAAAATCTATAACATCTATTAGAATTAAAATTCTGACTGTGGTTGTCCTCTTGTTTTCAGACGGAGGCTCATGTGTGTTGTCACGTGTGGGGAGGATAGGGTCATTAAGATTTGATCTATGACTTAACTAATTCTGAAGTAATTGTGCAGGTTCAAGTTCAATGTCAGTTATGATTTTTCAATATACTGCAGGTGTGGGATGCAGTCAAAGCGAAAAACTTAGAAAGTGAGTTTCAGAAACCATACCTCAGTTCTTGGCCCCGATTTCGCAGCAAGGATTGAAAGCGCACGGGATTGGGATTTTGGAATGGGAGGAGGAGGCGGCGAGTTCGAAGCGGCGTGAGATGATTGTAAACTGATTAGATGAAGACGATCGAAAACTGATGAGATCAAGACCAAAGTTCAAAAATATTACTATACCACAAACAATATCCTTTATGTTCCAATGACTGAAGGAGCACTAAATTATTCCCTTGACATTGATTTTCAAATATAAATTAAGACATTGTTTTCAGTGTAAGACATGACCAAATCCACTAAACAAATGATACCAATAAAGGATTCTCACGTATTTATGAGCCACAGGTCTGCCTCCTCAGGATTGTCACTTAATGGATAACCGAAAGCTGAAAGTTGGCCAGCCATATATTCACTGTCACTCTGACATAAAGACAAAGTGCAAGGAAAACAAATACAAACATGAGAAACTTTACTCATTCAATCCCTGATAAATTTAACTGAAAAAAGAGAAAAAAGAGAAAAAAGAAATATATGCCGGTGACAGAACCAAATCTCATGCTTATATAACACTAAGGTCAAGCAAAATGGAATGGTGAACTATGAGCTGGAGTTTACATGATGTTTAAATTAATCAACAACCTCCCTAAAATTGGGAAGTTCCCAGTAGATGATCTATTTTATAGATGGGAGAGGGAAAAAAAAAAAAAACAAACAAAACAGTACGATCAGAAAATTCAACAACCATTCCACGCAATATGATCAGAAAGGATGCAAAATCCAAATTAAATAATAATGAGAAACATTACTACCAAATAAATCCTACTTATAAGTTATAACCACAATAACAACCTTAAAATTTGATATCATAGATCCATTTGAAATAGGTGGATAATAGAGGATAATCAGCAAATAACTAAAACCTTAGAGACAGATCTAAGAAAACTTCAAACAAGAAACCAACCAAATTAGAAGCACCTTTATTGCCTGGAGATCTACAAAAGCAGTTCAGCCATTGGCTTAACGCCCCCACCCCCCCTTCTCTGGTGACATCCTCCATTTCTTATGCAAAGGAATTTTCAAATATTAACTTACCCTGTTCTCATCATCAACTGCTCTACTACCTTGCTATAAACCCAAAGGTTCCACCCAAGCTAATGGTCATTGATTTAAGCAGATAGCCTAATATTACTCTTAAATTGTGATGTTTTCTAACCTTTTGAAACCCCTTCCAGAAACTTTATATATATAAAATAATGCTGTCAGTTATTCATTTTCATAATAAGAGTATGGAAAATTCCTAACAGCCCAACTTTGTCTCCCATCATTTGTTTCCCAACCTATTTGGCACTTGCTGCACACACTGTATCATTGGAGTAGAAAATCAACCATGTTATATAACTCACTTGGACATCGCCATCTTAGTTGGGGAACAAAAGTTGGCAAGTGTAGCATTTCCCTAAAAACCTAGCAGTCTTCTATTTCCATGCGGCTTGAAGAGCAGTAGGACAGGAGAAAGATTAAGACTTATTATTAGAAAGGAGCCCACAATTATTTATTTTTCTGTTTCCATTATTCTTTCCAAGAACCACAAAAACCTCTGAATTTGTCTTCTGAAGACAGCTGCTTGAATTAATCATTTGAACCCCTCTTACCACATCATATTCTCCAAAACTTGCAAACTTAACAAAAAATGAAACTCCCCCGCTTATTACTGAAGGAAAAACTAAAATTATAAATTCAAATTGTAGAGGAAATACGAAGGTTTTCCTGGTAAAGTATGATATTACACTATATAAAGTGCAAAAACTGGTAGGGCATCTAAACAGTCGGTCATGGGTAACATTAACTACAGAAAAATAATGGGGCAATAATAGAATCCTGAAAACGTACCTGGTTGTGTGAGCACCCAAATGTCTTGATATATATAGTCTGCATAAAGAAAAAAAAAACAGAAGTTAGCGAAAGAAAATCATCTCTGGAGAGGAAAAGAGAGATAGAGAGAGACCTGAGTTCCAGGGATTTTGGGAGAGAGAGGAGCAAGGGGGTCTTGGATTTGAGATAGCTTATTGCTATTGCCATTGTGATTGGGTTTGTTCTTGTTCTTGTTCTTCTTTGGGTTCAATCCGATGGCTGTTATGGGCAAACGAAAACCCGGAGGAGCTCCACCTCCGCTCCCAACTAGCAAATCCTCTATGTCCTCCATTTCCTTAACTAACCTACACGCACTGCAAAACAACGACCCGCGATGGTTGGAGCTTCAAGTTCAAACACACAGACGGACAGACTGAAGGGGTTATGTAACAGCTAAATTTCTAGAATTCTGGAAATAGCCCAATTTTGAACTTTTTAAGATTTTTGGCCCAATTTTGCACTTCTTAATAACACACTGGGACCCGATTATATATATATTTTAAAATGTTTTGCCCTTTAAGAACATACATGATGTAAAGTAAAATGAACTCTTGTGCTGTCAAGAGACACGAATAAATAAAATACAAATTTATAAATAAACCAAATTCTAGACATGTATTTATAAAAAAATTCAAGCACTATTTAAACATAGAAACACACACTACTACGTTTCACTATTTGCTCGACGAAAGATCGCGCGACGAAGAACAACTCGTCGCCCAAACCATACTTGCGCGACTAAAAAAACTATTCGTCGCGCAATTCACTGAAAATTTGCGCGACGAGAAATATCGTCTCTAAAGGCAACATTGCGCGACGAATAAATTCTCTGTCGCGCAAAAAGGACAGTCCCCTTATTTAGCGCGACGGAAAGACGTTTCGTCGCGTAAGAGAACAAGAGATATTTTATTTTTTGGCTCCAAAAATGACCTGGGTGGGATATTTTTTTTTTGCGCGATGTAAGTACATTTCGTCGCGTAAAGTTCAACGTTTACACGACGAATATCTTGTTTTGCGCAACGGAATTTTGTTTTTGCACGACAATTTTGCGCGACGAAAGGTGGCGCGACGGAAAGTACCAGCGT